TATTAAGTCTGCAGAGCAGCAGCTGCAGAGTCAGAGCTTGCTCCTCTCACAGAAACCAGGACCCTCTGGTCCTACAGAAGAACAGCCCCCAGCACCAGGACCTGGACTCTGATCAATGAGGGCAGAGTCCTCAAGAACCTGGAAAACTCAGTGAGGGACAAGATGAGGACAATGATGGATGCCAGCCTCAGCCCTGAGTTTCTTCTGGACCCAAACACTGCCCACAGAAATCTGTTTGTGTCTGAGGTCTGACCAGAGTCAAACACACAGAGACTCCAGACCCAAATGTCTCTGAATCAGAGAGATTCAGGTCTTACACCAGTGTCCTGGCTCAGAGGGTTTCAGCTCTGGTGGTGGAGCTGGGAGGTGGAGGTGGGAGTCATCCTGAGTGGATGTTTTGGTCAAAGAGTCTGTTGGACAGAACAGCTGAACTGGAGACTTTACCAGAGAATGATTTGGTGTTTAAAGCACCACGAGAATAAATACTACAACATTACTGGTGAAACACTGACACTGAGCAAACGTCCTCACAAAATCACAGTGGATTTGGATTATAAAAAAGGAGAAGTTTACTTCACTGACAGCGGGAATCTAATCTGCTCCCACACAGACACTTTCACTGAGAAACTCTTCCCTTATTTTTATGTGGGACCAAAAGGGGGCGCTAAAGAAATTAAAATAAGTCAGATGTATGCTAGATCGTCAGACTTTCTGAGTTATCATTGGCTTTCTTTAACTCGACTCAGATCCTCACAAATCTCTCAGAAAACTCCATCTGCTCCAGAATCCTCACTGAAGCCTGAGGAAACATCAAGTGAGTGACGTGAGAGCTCAGGTTGGTCAAATAGTTACATTACTGGTCAAAGAAATCACTCAAGAGTAAAAAATTTTTGGGGAAACTACTACTCAAGTAAAAGTAACTGATTTATAATTTGAAGTTAATGAAGCAGAAAACAAAAAATAATGCACACGTTTGATATTTTCAAAGGACTGAACAAAAAAGGGACAAAATCATATGTGAAGAAGCGCTGCAAGAAACACAAATGTTTAAATCATTTCTTATTGTCAGAGGTGTAAATTCATTTCTGCACTGATTAGTAGAATATAAAGTCTAATTTTTTTCTTTTTTTTTTTTTTACAGTTTATATAATCATTAGTTGTTTATTGTGAGCTTCATTGTTGTTACTTTGCTGTTTTATCTGTTTTCTTTATGCATTGTGCTTAAATGTTTTCTTTTTGTGAATGTATTTAGTTAAAAATAGTATATTAATATTTTAATTGTGAGATATTCAGAGTTTTGTTCTGGAAAATCCTTGGCTGGACGTCACTGCAGACAAACACTTTCATTTACAAAACTATATTGTCAAATCTTCCACAGTATCTCACCTCCCTGAAAGTTTGTACTCAGAACTCCCTTGAGAATGAGAGGACACTTCTGCACCACTGAACTACGACAGTCACTTCGGTTATATTTTTCCCAATGTAAAAAAGAAACACATTATCATTTTAATTCACCATTTCCTTGGAGTTGTTTTCACTTTGCTGAATAATCCACAGTGTGACTTGACGTCTATTTATCTCTATCTGTCGTCATGGAAACAAGGAAGTGGTGCCAAGTTACAGGACAGATTAAAGTTGCAGGTTGCAATAAAAACAACTGAAAAAGTGCAACAAGGAAAATTTCATTTTGTGGAACATTCAAACACTGGACCCAAACACTGCCCACAGAAATCTGCTTGTGTCTGAGGATCTGACCAGAGTCAAACACACAGAGACTCCAGACCCAAATGTCCCTCTGAATCCAGAGAGATTCAGGTCTTACACCAGTGTCCTGGGCTCAGAGGGTTTCAGCTCTGGGTGTTGGAGATGGGAGATGGAGGTGGAGGTGGGAGATCATCCTGAGTGGACCATAGGTTTGGTCAAAGAGTCTGTGGACAGAACAGCTGAACTGGAGACTTTACCAGAGAATGGATTCTGGTGTTTAAAGCACCACGAGAATAAATACTACAACATTACTGGTGAAACACTGACACTGAGCAAACGTCCTCACAAAATCACAGTGGATTTGGATTATAAAAAAGGAGAAGTTTACTTCACTGACAGCAGGAATCTAATCTGCTCCCACACAGACACTTTCACTGAGAAACTCTTCCCTTATTTTTATGTGGGACCAAAAGGGGGCGCTAAAGAAATTAAAATAAGTCAGATCTATTTTGAATGGCCATCACCATCACTGACCTTCAGAGGTTATGGGAGTGATTCAGAGCCTTGGAGGGAACAGCCAACAGTCCAGTCAATGTCTTTACCTTCACCCAAAACCTGATTAAAAAAAGACTCTTTAATCTTTATGTCATATTAAAATGTCACCCGATCAAAACACAACATTATAACAGAAAACAGTGTCATATGGACCTTTAAACTGAAAAGTGCCGTGGTATTCCAAAAAAGCTGAAGACTCTTTAATGCAACTGTGGAACATTCTGGTAATGTAGCAGTTGTGGTTGAGAACATTTATGACCACAATATCCAGGCACACTCCGACTGCCTTCACCTCCTGCATGCCTAAAATCATATCTGTTTCTTGTGTACACCATATATATATATATATATATATATATATATATATATATATATATATATATATATATATATATATGTCCTTGATACAAATCTGCAGTGTTGGGAAGGTGNCACAGACACTTTCACTGAGAAACTTTCCCTTATTTTTATGTGGGACCAAAAGGTGCGCTAAAGAAATTAAAATAAGTCAGATCTATTTTGAATGGCCATCACCATCACTGACCTTCAGAGGTTATGGGAGTGATTCAGAGCCTTGGAGGGAACAGCCAACAGTCCAGTCTTATCAAATGTCTTTACCTTTACCCAAAACCTGATTAAAAAAAAAAAAAAAGACTCTTTAATCTTCATGTCATATTATAATGTCACCCGATCAAAAACACAATGTTATAACAGATCAGAAAACAGTGTCATATGGACCTTTAAGCTGAAAAGTGCCGTGGTATTTCAGAAAAGCTAAAGACTCTTTAATGCCAAACTGTGGAACATTCATGGTAAATGTAGCAGTTGTGGTTGGAGACACATTTATGACCACAATATCCAGGCACGACCTCCGAGCTGCCTTCACCTGCCTGCATGCCTAAAATCATATCTGTTTCTTGTGTACACCAAATATATAAATATATGTCCTTAATACAAATCTGCAGTGTTGGGAAGGTGACTCTTAAAATGTCTTCCCCTACAGATTACATCCCCCAAAATGTAGTTTGTAATGTAATCCATTAAATTACTTAAAGTGAGTAAAGTAATCTGAATACTTTGGATTACTTGATATTATTATGTTTTTTAAAACTACATGAATGTAGCAACCACATCCTGAAAATTCTTGTTTGTTCTCGTCAAAATATCTGTTGAGCCCAAGTCTCCATGAATAAGCAACTGTTGGCTGTAGAGAAGCAAAGACCAGGAAATCTGAACATAAGATGTTTTGTTTTATCTGATAAAAGAAAATAAAAAGTCCAGTCTTTACTTAAACATGTAAGAAAATATTATTGATAGAGAAATGATTTTTATATGAGACACTGCTGCCTGAAATTATGTTCACCTACTGTTAGGTGTCATATTGTTTAGTCCTGGTTTTAGTCCTGGTTTAGTCCTGGTTTTAGACCTAGTTTAGTCCTGGTTTTAAACATGGTTTTAGTCCTAGTTTAGTCTTAGTTTAGTCCTGCTTTTAGACCTGGTTTAGTCCTGGTTTAGTCTGGTTTTAGACCTGGTTTAGTCCTGGTTTAGTCCTGGTTTTAGTTCTGGTTTTAGTCCTGGTTTAAGTCCTGGTTTAGTCCTGGTTTTTTAGTTTCTGTTTTAGTTTAATTCTGTGAAAACAGGAAAATACCTCTGTGTAATCCATTTATTTCAACCAAGTAACTGTAATCCAATTACCTGTCATTGAAACAGTAACTGTAACTGAATACAGTTACTCATCATTTGTACTCTGATTACATAAATTCAGTACATGTAATCTGTTACTCCCCAACACTGCAAATCTGACACAAAATAATAAAAAATATGAGGTGGGCTGTGCTTTCTAATCTATTATCATTACTGTGCCTGATTAAAACTATTGGTCCCACACAAACATCATATCTCCATGGATACGAAACCAGAAAAGTTTCATTGTGCATGTTTAGTGACACTTTCCATTATTCCACTATATCCTGGTTTGGTGTTTGTTTCTTCTGTGGTTTTATCCAGTTATAAAAATAAATATATAAATAAATTGAAGTTTAAAAACCTGATTTTATTTTGTTTGCTCCTCCAAGACTAAACCAGGACTGAACCAGGACTAAACCGGGACTAAACCAGGACTAAACCAGGAGGACTGAAACACGTCTAAAACAGCACTGAACCCAGACCAAACAACAAGGAGGACTAAACTGAACCAGGACAATCCAGGTCTAAACCAGGTCTAAACCAGGACTAAACCAGGTCTAAACCAGGACTAAAACAAACCAGACTAAACCAGGTCTAACTAAACAGGACTAAACCAGGTCTAAACCAGGACTAAAAACCAGTTCTAAACCAGGACTAAACAGGACTAAACCAGTTCTAAAACCAGGACTAAACCAAACCAGGTCTAAACCAGACTAAACCAGGTCTAAACCAGGACTAAACCAGGTCTAAACCAGGAGGACTAAACCAGTCTAAACCAGGTCTACTAAACCAGGTCTAAACCAGGACTAAACCAGGTCTAAACCAGGTCTAAACCAGGTCTAAACCAAGGACTAAACCAGGTCTAAACCAGGTCTAAACCAGGAAACTAAACCAGGTCTAAACCTAAACAGGTCTAAACCAGGACTAAACCAGGCTAAAACCAGGAACCAAAACCAGGTCTAAACAGGACTAAACCAGGTCTAAACCAGGTCTAAACCAAACTCTAAACCAGGTTCCAGCCTCCGCAGGGGCAGTATCTGATGTTAAACTGTCGGATGTGGCCGCTCTTCGCTCCTCGTTGATTGTTTTGACAGAACAGAAGGGCGGATTCTGCTGCACTTTTCTCTTCATTTTAATAAAAAAAACACAAATATTTCTGTCACAAACTGTCTCAAACATGACGGGGACGGAGGACACCCAAACCAGCTACGAGGTGAGCACTTTTAAACACACTTTTAATGACATTTTTGGACATAAATCTTCCTCTCATTCACAATCACGCCCTTTGAATAAAACTGCAGATGCTCCTGAACAATTTATACATTTATTTCCACAACATTTTCAACAATTAACTAATGAAATAATAACAAATAAAGATAGATTTTTGAAACAGTGCATTAGAAAAAGACAACAAAAAGCCCAGTCTTTATTTAACCAAATAAAAAAATATTATTGGTAGAAGAGAAATAGGAGACACGGTCCGCGCAGCGTGATTTAGTCCTGTTTTAGTTTTGTTTTAGTTTTAGTCCTGTTTTTAGTCCTGTTTAGTCTGGTTTAGTCCTTAGTCCTGGTTTAGTCCTTTAGTTTTAGTCTGGTTTTGTTGGTCTGGTTTAGTCCTGGTTATTTAGTCTGGTTTAGTCCTGGTTTAGACCTGGTTTTTAGCCTGGTTTAGTCTGGTTTTGACCTGGTTTAGTCCTGGTTTTAGGTCCTGGTTTTTTGTCCTGGTTTAGACCTGGAGTCCTGGTTAGTGTTTTAGACCTGGTTTCGTCCTGGTTTTAGTCCAGTTTTAGTCCTGGTTTAGACCTGGTTCAGTGTCTGGCAAAGAGTGGAATTACCGGGGAGAAAAAAAAGGGATATGCCCAAAATGTGAAAACAGGAAAATACCGCTGTGTAATCCATTTATTTCAACAAAGTAACTGTAATCCAAACCGAATACAGTTACTCATAATTTGTACTCTGATTACTTAATTCCGGTAAATGTAATCTATTACTCCCCAACACTGAATATTACACAAATATAAGTTATAATGTTGTTACCTCATCAGAAACAGACCTGGAGTTTTGTTTTAGTGTATTTTTTAGTTTAGTGTCCACAAAAAAGTACATTACAATAGAAATAATAATAGTTAAATCTGAAATAATAAATGTTTTTGGTATTAACAGGGTTCGTTTGGTGCTAAAGAAGCAGAGGCCATCGTCAAAGAGGTGAGTTTGTTAAATACAGAATAAACTGGGAGGATGGACATTGTTATTAATATTTGGGGTTTAGTCCTGGTTTAGTTCTAGTTTAGACCCGGTGTGGACTTTGTTTAGTGCTGGTTTAGGTCCAGTTTAGACTCAGTTTGGACCTGGTTTAGTCCTAGTTTGAGCTGCTTAAGTTCTAGTTTAGACCTAGTTTGGACCTTGTTTAGTCCTGGTTTGGACCTAGTTTGGACCTTGTTTACTCCTGGGTTGGACCTAGTTTGGACCTTGTTTACTCCTGGGTTGGACCTAGTTTGGACCTTGTTTACTCCTGGGTTGGACCTAGTTTGGACCTTGTTTACTCCTGGTTAAGCCCTGGTTAAGTCCTTGTTTAGACCTAGTTTAGTTCTGATTTAGACCTGGTTTAGTTCCAGTTTAGATCCAGTTGGGACCTGGTTTAGTCCTAATTTAGACCTGTCTTAGACCCGGTTTGGAACTGGTTTAGTCCTAGTTTTGGCCCAGTTTGGACCTGTTTTAGTCCTGGTTTAGTTCCAGTTTAGACTCGATTTGGACCTGGTTTAGTCCTGGTTTAGTTCCAGTTTAGACTCGATTTGGACCTGGTTTAGTCCTGGTTTAGTTCCAGTTTAGACTCGGTTTGGACCTGGTTTAATCCTGGTTTGGACCTGGTATAGAGTAGACCTGGTTTAGTCTTTGTTAAGTCCTAGTTTAGACCCAATTTAGACCTGGTTTAGTCCTGGTTTAGACCTGATTTAGACCTGGTTTCTATTAGAAATGATCAGGAAAAATGTTTGTGGATTTTAATTTTGTAGTTTTCTTATAAAAATCCCATGTTACGATTCAGTCCAGCTCCTGCTCCTCTGTGTCCTTTTTCCTCCGGACCTGCAGTCGCTCATATTTACTCTCATTTTTTTAATATATTTTTTTAAATATTTATTCATGCGTTTGTTTGTTTTTCTTCAGAGCATCGATGCCACGATCGGAGGAGAGGACTACAACAAAGACCAGATCAACAAATGGACCGCGGCCATTTTAGAACGCTGCCTCAGTGACCTCTGCAAACTGGGAAAACAGTACAAGTATATAGGTGAAAGAGACTAAACCAGGACTAAACCAGGACTAAACCAGGACTGAACCAGGACTAAACCAGGACTAAACCAGGACTAAACCAGGACTAAACCAGGACTAACCAGGACTGAAACCAGGACTAAACCAGGACTAAACCAGGACTGACCAGGACTGAAACAGGACTAAACCAGGACTAACCAGGACTAACCAGGACTGAACCAGGACTGAACCAGGACTAAACCAGGACTAAACCAGGACTGAACCAGGACTAAACCAGGACTAAACCAGGACTAACCAGGACTACCAGGACTGAACCAGGACCAGGACTGAACCAGGACTGAAACAGGACTAAACCAGGACTAAAGGACCAGACTAAACCAGGACTGACCCAGGACTGAAACCAGGACCAGGACTAAACCAGGACTAAACCAGGACTAAACCAGGACTAAACCAGGACTAAACCAGGACTAAACCAGGACTAAACCAGGACCAGGACCAGGACTAAACCAGGACTAAAGGACTCAACCAGGACCACTAAACCAGGACTAAACCAGGACTGAACCAGGACTGAACCAGGACTAAAACCAGTACTAAACCAGGACCAAACCAGGACTGAACCAGGACTAACCAGGACTAACCAGGACTAAACCCAGGACTGAACCAGGACTAAACCAGGACTGAACCAGGACTAAACCAGAGTCTGAACCAGGACTAAACCAGGACTGAACCAGGACTAAATCAGGACTAAACCAGGTCTAAAATGGACCTAAACCAGGGACTAAACCAGTTTAGACTCAGTTTGGACCTGTTTAGTCCTGGTTAAGTCCTAGTTTAGACTCGATATGGACCGTGTTTAGACCCAGTTTGGACCTGGTTTAGACCTGGTTAAGTCCTAGTTTAGACCCGGTTTGGATCTGGTTTAGTCCTGGTTCAGTTCTGGTTCAGTCTTGGTTTAGTCCTGGTTTAGTCCTAGTTCAGTTCTGGTTCAGTCTTGGTTTAGTCCTGGTTTAGACCCGGTTTAGATCTGGTTCAGTCCTGGTTTAGTCCTGGTTCAGTTCTGGTTCAGTCTTGGTTTAGTCCTGGTTTAGACCCGGTTTAGATCTGGTTCAGTCCTGGTTTAGTTCTGGTTTCTATTACAAATTATCAGTAAAAATGTTTGTAGATTTTAATTTAGTAGTTTTCTTATAAAAATCCACTGAACCAGAGGAGTTAAACCGGGCCAGACTAGGACAAAACTAGACTAAAACCAGCTAAACAGTTTTTATTTAACACTAATTATTCATGTTTTTATGTCAGTGACGTGTGCGGTGACTCAGAAAACCGGAGCTGGACTTCACGCGGCGAACTCCTGCTTCTGGGACACGGCTCTGGACGGTGAGAAAAACACGAAAGATCTTTGTTTTTACAGTTTTATTTCTGTCAGTGACGAGGTCCATTACCCTGCTGTCCTGGTTTAGTCTTGGTTTCAGTCCTGTTTTAGTCCTGGTTTAGTCCTTGTTTTAGACCTGGTTTAGTCCTGGTTTAGTCCTATTTTAGTCCTTTTTAGTCCTGGTTTTAGTCCTGGTTTTCGTCCTTGTTTTAGTCCTGGTTTTCGTCCTTGTTTTAGTCCTGGTTTTAGTCCTATTTTAGTCCTGGTTTAGTCCTATTTTAGTCCTGGGTTAGTTCTGGTTTTAGTCCTGGTTTAGTCCTTGTTTTAGTCCTGGTTTAGTCCTTGTTTTAGTCCTGGTTTAGTCCTATTTTAGTCCTTGTTTTAGACCTGGCTTTAGACCTGGTTTAGTCTTGCTTTTAGACCTCGTTTAGACCTGGTTTAGTCCTTGTTTTAGACTTGGTTTAGTCTTGTTTTAGACCTGCTTTAGTCCTGGTTTAGACCTGGTTTTAGACCTGGTTTAGTCTTGGTTTTAGACTTGGTTTAGTCCTGTTTTAGACCTGGTTTAGTCCTGGTTTAGTCTTGTTTTAGACCTGTTTAAGTCCTGTTTTAGACCTTTTTTAGACCTGGTTTAGTCCTGTTTTAGACCTGGTTTAGTCTTGTTTTAGACCTGGTTTAGTCCTGTTTTAGACCTGGTTTAGTCCTGTTTTAGACCTGGTTTAGTCTTGTTTTAGACCTGGTTTAGTCCTGTTTTAGACCTGGTTTAGTCCTGTTTTAGACCTGGTTTAGTCCTGTTTTAGACCTGGTTTAGTCCTGTTTTAGACCTGGTTTAGTCCTGTTTTAGACCTGGTTTAGTCCTGTTTTAGACCTGGTTTAGTCCTGTTTTAGACCTGGTTTAGTCCTGTTTTAGACCTGGTTTAGTCTTGTTTTAGACCTGGTTTAGGTAGTGTATTTATTTAGTTTAGTATCCACAAAAAACAGGAAAGGTCTTTGTTTTTTTACATTTACATTTCGATGAGTTTCGTTGTATTTAACCAACACCACAACAACATTTTTAAAGCAGTATTTTATCAGAGTTTTAATATTTTTTCTTTCTCCTTCCTCTTTTTTTTCCAGGCAGCTGCACAGTCAAATGGGAAAACCGCACCATGTATTGTATCGTCAGTGTTTTTGCTTTGTCCATTGCTTAGAAAAACAAATTATTAAAGTTTATTTATGTTTAAAACTGCCGTAAAATCACGTTACAAGCATGAAATCACGTGACGGACCGACGCAGTACCCTCTGACACCCACACGAGGGCGCTACAGTGCCACAAATGCAGTACAACCGTAAAGTGGACTTGTTTTTGTTTTTTTCTTTCTTTCTTTGCCTTTTTCAGTGATTATGCCAACAATAAATAAATAAATATATGTTTCAGTTTTTGCTTAAAATCTGTTAATATTTGACTTTTCTCATCTGTTGTTTTGGGCCAAATAAAAAAACACATTTGTACAGAAATTTGTTGTCTCTGTTTTGAATCGTTTGATTTAATAAAATTTTTGGCGTATTAATTTAAAAAGAACTGATTATAGATTCTGTTTAGTTTCTTCTGTAGCTTTTAAGTTAGGACTAAACCAGGACTAAATCAGGACTAATCTAGGCCTAAATATGGACTAAACCAGGATTAAAAGAGGACTAAACTATGTCTAAACCAGGTCTAAATAAGGTCTAAACTAGGACTAAGTCAGGACTAAATTAGGTCTAAACCAGGTCTAAACTTGGCCTAAATACAGTCTAAACTAGGTCTAAACCAGGACTAAACCAAGTCTAAACTAGGCCTAAAGCAGAACTAAACTAGGACTTAACCAGGTCTAAACTAGATCTAAATAAGGTCTAAACCAGGTCTAAACTAGGTCTAGATAAGGTCTAAACCAGATCTAAATTAGGACTAAACCAGGTCTAAACTAGAACTAAGCCAGGACTAAACCAGGTCTAAATAAGGTCTAAACTAGGTCCAAACCAGGTCTAAACCAGGTAAAATAAGGTCTAAACTAGGTCTAAACCAGGTCTAAACCAGGAATAAACCAGGACTAAAGCAGGACTAAATTAGGTCTAAACCAGGTTTAAATAAGGTCTAAACTACATCTAAACCTGGACTAAACCAGGTCTAAACCAGGACGAAACCATCTTTGAACCAGGACTGAACCAAGTCCAAGTAGTATTAGTATTATTATTATTAGTAGTAGTAGTAGTAGTACCAAATATTTTAAATAATTTTCCTCTTCTGTGCCTCTTTTATCTGAAGGCTGTTTGTAACGTGTCCATTTTATTTTCACTTAAAGAACCGTCGGTGTTAAAGTTTATTGATGTGTTTTTGTTTTTTTCTCAAATAAAAATAAAAATAATTGATTTCGTCTGAGCTTTTCACAGGTTTAATTAAAAATACTTCTGTGAAATTGGGGTTTTGGACAGAAAGAGAAAAGAGTTTGACCTGAACGTCCTCAAAAAAAAAAGTCCAAATATTTAATTATAAAGAGAATTTAAAGAACAAAGCAGTTTAACTCTTGATAAAAGAAAAAATGGATAATGCTCAAAGTGAAGAAACCAGGACTAAACCAAGACTAAGCCAGGACTAAACCAGGACTAAACCAGGACTAAACTAGGACTAAATCAGGACTAAACCAGGACTAAACCAGGACTAAACCAGGAAAAGGACTAAACCAGGACTAAACTAAACCAGGACTTAAACCAAACAAGGACTAAAACCAGGTCTAAACCAGGACTAAACCAGGTCTAAACCAGGACTAAACCAGGGTCTATGCCAGGACTAAACCAGGACTAAACAAGGACTAAACAAAGGACTAAACCAGGACTAAACCAGGATTAAACCATATTCTATGCCAGGACTAAACCAGGACTAAACCAGGATTAAACCAGGATTAAAACAGGGTCTATTCCAGGGTCTAAGCAAGGACTAAACCAGGACTAAACCAGAGTCTCTCTATGGTAGACCAGGACAAAACTAGTGACTAACCGGGACTAAATCTGGTATTGACCAGGATCTAAACAAAAACTGGACTAAATCAGGTCTTAACCAGGGTCTAAAATAAACCTCAACTAAACCAGGGCCTAAACCAGGGTCGAGACTCTAGCAGAACTAAACCAGGATCCATGCCAGGACAAAACTAGGTCTTAACCAGGGTCTCTAACCAAACTATAAGACTTGACCAGTTTTAAACCAGGACTTAACCAGGACTTAACCAGGGTCTAGACTAAACCAGGGTCTATGCCAGGATTAAATCAGGTCTTGACCAGGGTCTCTAAACCAAGGTATAAAACTAAACAAGATATAAAGCAGCTCTAAACCAGGACTATACCAGGGTCTAGAGCAGGACTAAACCAGGTCTAAACCAGGACTAAACCAGGACTAAACCAGGACTAAACCAGGACTAAACCAGGACTGAACCAGGACTGAAACCAGGACTGAACCAGGACTAAACCAGACTAAACCAGGACTAAACCAGGACTAAACCAGGACTGAAACAGGACTAAACCAGGACTGAAACAGGACTAAACCAGGACTAAACCAGGACTAAACCAGGACTAGAACAGGACTAAACAGACTAAAACAGGACAAGACTTCATCATCTGTAACAAAAAGTCTTGAAATAAAGGTTTAATACAGTAACAAATGGAATCTAAACCAGAATTGATCCAGAGTCTAGACCAGGAACTAAACCAGGATCAACACCTGGAAAAAAATAAAATAATAAAATCATAATAATAGGGCTGTGAAATGGCAGGACATTTTTAAAAACATGATTAAATAAAAAATTTTCATAAAAAAAAAAAAATAATAATAATAATAAAAAAAAAACGTTTCATTTTAGGTCAAGTTTAAAGTTTATTATTTTCGAACAGCGCCGCCTGCTGGACGAAACAAAAACAAAACTCCAAAATGGCCGCCCTGAACTCTGCAGCAGCTGGAACTTTTACAACCAGAAGATTTTAAGATTTTACAGGTAAAAGAAAAATACAAACGAGTGATTCACGCAATATTTACAGTTATTTATTTAAGTTTAACTTTAATATTCTAACATAAATGTCTTTAAAAGTACATGTGAGCTGTACAAAGCAAGTTAAAGGTAAAGAGCAACAAATGTTTAGGTCTGAAAGGGTCTGAACCAGGACTAAACCAGGACTAAACCAGGACTAAACCAGGACTAAACCAGGACTAAACCAGGACTGAAACCAGGACTAAACCAGGACTGGACTGAAACAGGACTAAACCAGGACTAAACCAGGACTAAACCAGGACTAAACCAGGACTGAACCAGGACTAAACCAGGACTAAACCAGGACTAAACCAGGACTGAAACAGGACTAAACCAGGACTAGAACAGACTAAAACAGGACAAAACCAGGTTCAAACCAGGTCTAAACCGGGTTCAAACCAGGTCTAAACCAGGTCTAAACCTTGCACTAAACCAGGTCTAAACCAGGTCTAAACCAGGTCTAAACCAGGTCTAAACCAGGTCTTAACCAGGTCTAAACCAGGTCCAAACCAGGACTAAATCAGGTCTAAACCAGGTCCAAACCAGGACTAAACCAGGTCTAAACCAGGTCTAAACCAGAACTAAACCAGAACTAAACTCTCACTAAACCAGGACTAAACCAGGACTGAAACAGGACTAAACCAGGACTAAACCAGGTCTAAACCAGGTCTAAACCAGGTCTAAACCAGGTCTAAACCCAGACTAAACGTGTACTAAACCAGAACTAAAGGAGGTCTAAACCAGGTTTAAACTAAACCAGTTCAGGACTAAAACGGTACTAAACCAGGACTTAACAAAGACTAAACCAGGACTTAATCAGGTCTTGACCAGGGGATGAATTTTGTTTAAACTAAAACCACATCAAATCTGAACTGGAGACAAGAAATAAAACAGAAACCAGGACTAAACCAGGTCCAAACCAGGTCTAAACAAGAACTAAACTAGAGCTAAACAACATTCCCAAAAATGGACAGATCCGTCTTTGAGAACTTGTTTTAAAAGGTCAAAAGGGGAAGTTTGAATTTTGAAAGCCGAAATTTCGTGAATGTTTCTGTAACTGAAAAGAAGAAGAGGAAAATTTCAAAAAAACCCAAAGTTTCAAAACATCCCCCTCCAAAAACCGAAATGACCTTTGGACATTAAGAAATCACACAGACATGTTTATTATTAGAACTAAACCATGACTAAACCAGGACTAAACCAGGACTAAAAAAGGGACTAAAACAGGTACTGAACGTGGGCTTAAACAGGACTGATCTAGGACTAAACCAGGACTAAATCAGAACTGAACCAGGGACTAAATAAGACTGATCCAGGGTCTAGACCAGGGACTAAACCACGATTAATCCAGGCATAAAACCAGGACTGAACCAAAAAGAATCAGCACTAAACCAGGATGGTCCCAGGTCTAAACCAGGTCTTGATCAGGTTTAGAACCAGGACTTAACTTGGCTTAACCGGACTGATCCTGGGTCTACACCAGGGACTAAACCAGGACATATCCAGTGTCTAGACCAGTGACTTAACCAGGCACAGAACCAGGTCTAAACCAGGTCTAAACCAGGTCTAAACCAGGTCTAAACCAGGTCTAAACCAGGTCTTGGTCAGGTTTAGAAGTTCTCCTTGTTGAAGATGAACTTGACGTCAGCCTCAGAGTGAGACAGACACTGTTTCTCCAGAGATTTCCCGAGCTGAGGAGGTCCACACAGGAACACGCCCACTTTGGTCCTGAAACACAAACATTTGACCCAAAACCTTCAGTGTCTCTGGGTCACACCAAACTCCACACAGTTTGTGAGTGTGACCCAAACTGTGTGGGTCACTAAATTAGACATTTTATGGACGTACAGGTCATGTCTATGTTGCGCCCGTCGGTCTAAGACCAGTTCTGGACTAAATGACGACCAGATTATGTCCAGTATTTGGACGTTTAACTCTGACTCCACTTGGACGTCAGTGTCCACTTAAATATTTGAACCATGGACTCGGGGACTTTTTTGGACGTCCTGGGGACGTCTGACACAGGCGCAGGAAAATGACGTTATTGATTAATATATTACTTGTTATTTATGACAAATATCAACATTGTTGTTATAAATATGATTCATTCATATTAATTTTGATTATTGTGATTTGTGTGATAATTTATTACTAATTATATATTTGAGTGCATATTTTGTTTTCTGTTTAATTAAGTAAGTAAGTTTTTTATTTATATCGCGCTTTTCACAGACATTTGTCACAAAGACCCTTTACAGAGCATTATTCACTCACTCAACACTCAGTGGTGTGGTAAAATACTGCAGCCTCAGCTGCCCTGGGGCAGACTGACTGAAGCGCGGCTGCCAATCTGCACCATCGGCCCCTGTGATCACCACCATCACTCACGCACACACCACTTTCATACCAGGCAATGTGGGTGAAGTGTCTTGCCTAAGGACACAATGACAGTTTTTTCCACTGGCGCCTCCTGTGGCTCCTGGAATTCCCAGTGTCTCCAATCCAAGTACAAACCCGACCCAGACTCTGAGCTTCTGAGTCTGACGGGATCAGACTTTGACAAGACGCTCTGGCCACAGTGTTTGGTCACTGATCAAATACTTTCTTCACATGAACATCACTGGATGAACCTCAGATCCACTGACACAAACATGAACTTCACACAGACAGTGGCTCCTCTTTTCTGCATCACTACAGGAAGGTAGTACTACTACTAGTAGTAGTAGTAGTAGTAGTAGTAGTAGTAGTAGTAGTAGTACCTTGGGTGTGTGGTGGCGATGGTGCTGAACTCATTGTCCCAGTTGGGTTTTCCGTACAGAGTTTTCTGCTTGAGTCCAGTGATGGGGTCGTTCTCCGCCTCGTGGTGAACGCGGAAGTGAGCCGCCTGAAGAAGAACCACAGAAGAACCACACGAGAACCACAGGAGAAAGAACCACAGGAGAAGAACCACAGGAGAATGACAGAAGGAGAAACCCAGAAGGACCGCAGAAGAACCACAGAAGAAGAACCAGTCAGTAAAAACAATAACACTTCTTATTTGGAAGGTGGTGACATTGGGCATGTGGTTTGCAGTAGTAGTATATTTTGTAGTATTTGTAGTAGGAGTACTGATAGTAGTATTCGTAGTATTTGTAGTATTTGTACCTCCTGCTCCTTCCAGCGTGTGAGGTAGATGTTGTAGCTCAGAAAGTCGCCCATGTCTCGTTCGTTCATTTGTTTTTCCAACGACTGAAGCAGATCAGCAAACCACTCAAACGCCTCAGTCTCCGGACACAACCAGTAGAAATAAATCTGAAACAAACCAGAACTGAACCAGGACTGAACCAGGACTGAACCAGGACTGAACCAGGATTAAACCAGGACTGAACCAGGACTGAACCAGGACTAAACCAGGACTAAACCAGATCTAAATCCATTCTAAATCAAGTCTAAACCGGGTCTAAACCCAGTCTAATCCTCATCTAAACCTGGTCTAACCCTGGTGTAAACTCTGTCTAAACCCGGTCTAAATCCAGTCTAAACCTGGTCCAAGTTTGGTCCAAATCCATTCTAAACCCTGTCTAAACCAGTCTAAACCCGGTCTAGACCCTGTCTAAACCCGGTCTAGACCCGGTCTAAACCCGGTCTAAAACCTGGTCTAAAACCCGGTCTAAACCCGGTCTAAACCCTGTCTAAACCCGGTCTAGACCCGGTCTAAACCCGGTCTAAAACCTTGTCTAAACCCGGTCTAAACCCAGTCTAAACCCGGTCTAAACCCGGTCTAGACCCGGTCTAGACCCGGTCTTACCTTCTTGGTGTAGGTGTCTTGCTGGTTCTGGATGCGTTTGTACCACACGGACTTCAGGATCGAGGCGAAGGGAGTGACTCCGATTCCGGCTCCGACCAACATCACCACCTCATACCGGAAAACATCCTCCGAGGCCGTCCCAAACGGACCGTCCACCGCGATCCTGGGACCACACAGAGACCCGGGTCAGACCAGGATCATAACCAGAAAACACAGAGACCCGGGTCAGACCAGGATCATAACCAGACCCAGGACAACAGAGACCCGGGTCAGACAGGACATAAACCAGACCACACAGAGACCCGGGTCAGACCAGGATCATAACCAGACCCAGAGAGAGACCAGAGAGACCGTAACAATTTATGTACTATTTGATAAAACTTCAGGTCCTGTTTAAATCCTCATTTAGTCCTGGTTTAGTCCTTATTTCTAGTCCTAGTCTAGTCTTGGTTCAGTCCTAATTTAATCCTAGGTTAGACCTACTTCAGTCCTGGTATAGTCCAGATTTTGTCCCAATAATCCACTCTCTTTGCTCCTCTCTCCTTCCCTCCCTTCTCTGTTTCCTTCCTCTCCTTCCTCTCTTCCTCCTCCCTCCTCCTTTCCTCTCCTCCCTCCTTCTCCCTCCTCTCTCCTCTCTCCTCTCTCTCCTTCCCTTCTCTCCTCTTCCCTCCTCTCCTTCCCTCCTCTTTCCCTCCTGTTTCCTTCCCTCCTCTCCTCCCCTCTCCTTCCCTTCCTCTCCTTCCTCCTCCTCTCTTGCTCCTCTCTCCTTCCTCTCCTCCCTCCTCTCCTCCTCCTCTCTTTCCCTCCTGTTTCCTTCCCTCCTCTCCTTCCCCCCTCTCCTTCCTTCCTGTCTCCTTCCCTCCCTCCTCTCCTTCCCTCCTCTCTCTCCTCCTCTCTCCTTCCCTCCTCTCTCCTTCCCTCCTCTCCTTCCCTTCTCTCCTTCCCTCCTCTCCTTGTCTCCTCCCTTTCCCTCCTGTCTCCTTCCCTCCTCTCTTTGCCTCCTCTGTCCTTGCCTCCTCTCTCTTTGCCTCCTCTCCTTGTCTCCTCTCTATTTGCCTCCTCTCTCCTTTCCTCCTCTCCTTGCCTCCTCTCTCGTTTCCTCCTCTCCTTGCCTCCTTTTGCTTTTCGTTCTCTCCTTCCCTCCTCTCTCTTTGCCGTCTCTCCTTTCCTCCTCTGTTCTTGCCTCCTCTCTTTGCCTCCTCTCTCCTTGTTTTCTCTCTCCTTGCCTCCTATCCTTCTTCCCTCATCTCCTCGTCTCCTCGTCTGTGGCCCCCTGTTGTGTTTTGTCCCTCTCGCTCGCCGTAGCCCGCCGCGTTCAGAATGACGGGTTATTATTTCAGATTGGTGTTGCCGCCTCTTTTCTGTCCGTAATTGTTCTTGTCATTTTCGACCCGGGAGCCGACGCAGGTTTTCTGACACCGTCGACGCGAGACGTGTCATTTTCTGTAAACGCTTCGCGGAAAAATACAAACAGAGTCATTATTTAACGAGAGACGATTGGAAAAGGACAGAGAGATGGAAAGAGATTTAAGGACGATAAAAAACGACTGATCAACTGAGAGAAACAACTGTCAACTATCTGGTTTAGACCTGGTTTAGTCCTGGTTTAGTCCTGGTTTAGTCCTGGTTTAGTCCTGCTTTAGACCTGGTTTAGACCTGGTTTAGTCCTGGTTTAGACCTGGTTTAGATTTAAGCACTAAACCACGTCAAACCCAAATCTAATCTACGTCTAAACCAGAGATGAAACCAGGACGAAACCAAGTCTAAACCAGGACTAAACCAGAGACTAAACCAGAGACTAAACCAGGTCTAAATGAGGTCTAAACCAGGACTAAACCAGAGACTAAACCAGGACTAACCAAGGTCAAACCCATGTGTAAGCCAGGTTTACACCAGGTTTAAACCAGGACTAAACCAAGTCTAAATCAGGACTAAACCAGGACTAAACCAGAGACTAAACCAGGTCTAAATGAGGTCTAAACCAGGACTAAACCAGAGACTAAACCAGAGACTAAACCAGGACTAACCAAGGTCAAACCCATGTGTAAGCCAGGTTTACACCAGGTTTAAACCAGGACTGAACCAGGACTAAACCAAGTCTAAATCAGGACTAAACCAGGTTTAAACCAGGTCTAAACTAGGACTAACCAAGGTCAAACCCATATGTAAATCAGATCTAAACCACAGACTATATCAGGACTAAACCAGCACCAACTGAAGTCTAATCCAGGTCTAAACCAGGTCGAACCCATGTGAAAACCAGACTATAAACCAGGATTTAACCAGGTCTAAACCAGGATTTAACCAGGTTCTAACCCGGGTCTAAACTAACACTAATCGAAGTCTAACCCAAGTCTAATTCAGGTCTAACCCAGGTCTAAACAGAACTAAACCAGCACTAATCACCAAGTCTAACCCAAGTCTAATCCAGGTTGAACCCAAATGTAAACCAGGTGTAAACCAGAGACTAAACAGGACTAAACCAGGTCTAACCCAAGTCTAACCCAGGATTTAACCAGGTCTATCCCAAGTCTAACCCAGGTCTAAACCCCTGTCTCACTTGGGCAGGGTCCAGGCCTGCTGTTGCTCGGGCCGGTCTCCTCCACAGGCCTTGTACAGCTCTTCGGTCCAGTCCCCCACGATGCGTATGTGGGCGCTGAAGTGGTCCTCCTCGGGGGCGGAGGTCAGGGTGAACGGGTGCCACTCCAGACGGGACACGGCCGGGCACTGCAGGAACACGTACTGACCCACCTCCATCTTAAACCCCTTCCTCTTCATCTGCAGCTCCAGGGTACGAGACGGATGCATCACCACCTGCAGGACGGAGGCGCAACTGTCAGGTAAAGTTGTTTTTTGTTTGTTTGTTTTTTGTGTGCTCTTTTTTTCGCAGAGTTCAAGCTCCCACAAGACCGAGACGAGACCGAGGCCGAGAAATCCATCAAGACCGAGACGAGACCGAGGCCAAGCTCCATCAAGACCGAGACGAGACCGAGGCCGAGCTCCATCAAGACCGAGATGAGACCGAGGCCAAGCTCCATCAAGACCGAGATGAGACCGAGGCCAAGCTTCATCCGAGATGAGACCGAGGCCGAGCTCCATCAAGACCGAGATGAGACCGAGGCTGAGCTCCATCAGAACCGAGATGAGACCGAGGCCAAGCTTCATCAAGGCCGAGACGAGACCGAGGCCAAGCTCCATCAAGACCGAGAGACCGAGAGACCGAGGCCAAGCTCCATCATCAAGACCGAGATGAGACCGAGGCCAAGCTCCATCAAGACCGAGATGAGACCGAGCCAAGCTCCATCAAAAGACCCGAGAGAGACCGAGGCCAGCTCCATCAAGACCGAGATGACCGAAGCTCCATCAAGAGCCGAGATCCATCAAGACCGAGACCGAGGCCAAGCTCCATCAAGGCCGAGACCGAGTCCATCAAGACCGACCGAGGCCAAGCTCATCAAGACCGAGATGAGAGACCGAGGCCGAGCTCCATCAAGACCGAGATGAGACCGAGGCCGAGCTCCATCAAGACCGAGACGAGACCGAGGCCAAGCTCCATCAAGACCGAGATGAGACCGAGGCCAAGCTCCATCAAGACCGAGATGAGACCGAGGCCGAGCTCCATCAAGACCGAGATGAGACCGAGGCCAAGCTCCATCAAGACCGAGATGAGACCGAGGCCAAGCTCCATCAAGGCCGAGCCGAGATGAGACCGAGGCCGAGAAGCTCCATCAAGACCGAGATGAGACCGAGGCCAAGCTCCATCAAGACCGAGATGAGACCGAGGCCAAGCTCCATCAAGACCGAGACGAGACCGAGGCCAAGCTCCATCAAGACCGAGATGAGACCGAGGCCGAGCTCTCATCAAGACCGAGATCCATCAAGAGACCGAGGCCAAGCTCCATCAGACCGAGACGAAGACGAGATGAGACCGAGGCCAAGCTCCACAGGAGACGAGAGGCCAAGCTCCATCAAGACCGAGATGAGACCGAGGCCAAGCTCCATCAAGACCGAGATGAGACCGAGGCCAAGCTCCATCAAGACCGAGATGAGACCGAGGCCAAGCTCCATCAAGACCGAGATGAGAGACCGAGGCCAAGCTCCATCAAGACCGAGATGAGACCGAGGCCAAGCTCCATCAAGATGAGACCGACCGAGAAGACCGAGAGACCCGAGGCCAAGCTCCATCAAGACCGAGATGAGACCGAGGCCAAGCTCCATCAAGACCGAGACGAGACCGAGGCCAAGCTTCATCAAGACCGAGATGAGACCGAGGCCAAGCTTCATCAAGACCGAGAGTCTAATATTAGCAGTTATATCACACTGGGGGTATTCTACATGTATGTCTATGGCGGAATGTTAATCAGTTTTCATGGTGACACAGTGCGCACATGAGCAAACACAGTCAAAAAAGCTTTAAGATTGTCTTTAATCTAGTGTTGTGGTCAAGGCCGCACTAATTGAGACCAAGACCATTCTGAGACCACAGGGTCCCGAGACCAAGACAAGACCAAGACCTGTGAGATTTTTAAAGGTCAAGACTGAGACAAGACTGAGACCACAGCCCATCGAGACCAAATCAAGACCATGTTTGTCATTTCCTACATTTATCACACTCATTGAGTGTCAGACCTTGAGTCCGAGACAAGACCGAGTCCAAGCACCATCAAGACCGAGTCAAGACTGAGGTTAAATGCACTAAAGTCAGAGATGAAACTAAGACCATAAAAAAGCGGTCTTGAGGCTGGCCTCGAGTATTACAACACTACTGGAAACCCAAGAAAAAATACAAAATATATGTTTAGACCTGGTTTAGTCCTGGTTTAGACCTGGTTTAGTTGTGGTTTAGTTTTAAGCACTAAACCACGTCAAAACCAAATCTAATCTAGGTCTAATCCAGGTCTAAACCAGGATTTAACCAGATCTAACCCAGGTGGAACCCATGTGTAAACCAGGTCTAAACCAGAGATTAAAATAGGACTAAACTAAGACTAAACGAGAACTGAATCAGGTTTAAATCAGGAATAAACAAGAGACTAAACCAGGACTATATTGGGTCTAACCCAGATCTAAACCAGCACTAACCCAAGTCGAACCCAAATCTAATCCAGGTCTAAACCAGGATTTAACCAGGTCTGACCCAGATCTAAACCAGCACTAACCAAAATCTAACTGAAGTCTACCCAGGTCTAAACCAGGTCTAACTCATGTGTAAACCAGGTCTAAACCAGAGACTAAACCAGGCATAAACAAGAGACTACACCAGGACTAAATCAGGCCTACCCCAGGTCTAATCCACCTCTAAACCAGCAGTGATCGAAATCTAATCCAAGTCTGATCTGTTCAGGAGGAGGAGACTGACTAAATGAAAAACTATTGGCTAATGCGCATTAGTTTGTGACTGTAATGTTATTTGAGAGTCAGTTTTCAGATCATTTTAGTACAAACCTGGCACATTTATAATTTTCTGATTATTTATTTATTTTTAATTATTTATTTATTTTTTTACAAACCTTGGTGATGACGACTTTCTGGTGAGATCTGTAAAGTCGAACGAGCCGCTCACAAACGTACAGGAACATGGGCCCCACCACCCACTTCCACGTCTGAAAACAACAAGAAAAAACAGGACTGAATCAGGACTACAACAGGACTAAACCAAGACTGAACCAGGACTAAACCAGGACTAAACCAGATCTAACCCAGTCTAAAGCAGCTTTTAACCCAAAATATGGTCTAAACTGAGTCTAAACTTGGTCTAAACCCAGTCTATACCAGAATTTGAATTTATTTAGTTAGACCCTAACCCTAAACCTGGTCTAAACCTGGTCTAAACCCGGTCTAAACCCGGTCTAAACCCGGTCTAAACCCGGTCTAGATGTGGACTCACCATTGGGGGGTTTCCGGCGAACTCCGGCACCGCGCAGCCGGACCCGTTCCTGCCCCAGTCCTGGAAGTGCTCGGAGCAGTTTTCCGGATCGTTGGTCTCCAGACTCTGATTCGTCTGACCACGAACTATTCTCCTGAAAATACAAATACACAGACGGAATATGAGAGGAAGGACTAGTACTACAGATACTACTACTACTACTACTACTACTACTACTACTACTACTACTGATACTACTATTACTACTACTACTACTACTACTGATACTACTACTACTACTACTACTACTACTACTACTACTACTACTACTGATACTACTACTACTACTACTATACTTACTACTGATACTACTTACTACTACTACTACTACTACTACTACTACTGATACTACTGATACTACTACTACTACTACTACTACTACTACTACTACTACTACTACTGATACTACTACTACTACTACTACTACTACTGATACTACTACTACTACTACTACTGATACTACTACTACTACTACTACTACTACTACTACTACTACTGATACTACTACTACTACTACTACTACTACTACTACTGATACTACTATACTACTACTACTACTACTACTACTACTACTACTGATACTACTATTACTATTACTGATACTACTACTACTATTACTATTACTACTACTACTACTACTACTACTGATACTACTGATACTACTACTACTACTACTACTACTACTACTACTACTACTACTACTACTACTACTACTACTACTACTACTACTGATACTACTACTACTACTACTACTACTACTACTACTACTACTACTACTACTACTACTACTACTACTACTACTGATACTACTACTACTACTACTACTACTACTACTACTACTACTACTACTGACTACTACTACTACTACTACTGCTACTACTGCTACTACTACTACTACTACTACTACTGCTACTTACTACTACTACTGCTACTACTACTACTACTACTGCTACTGCTACTACTACTACTACTACTGATACTACTACTGCTACTCCTCCTCCTCCTACTACTACTACTAGTATTACTACTACTCCTAAGATACAAAAACTACTACCAAACGTCCAAACTACCAAGTTCAATCAGATCTAAACCAGGTCTTAATCGAGACTTTTCTCACTGGAATCCGTGGAAGACGAGTCCGATGAAGAAGATGACGAAGAGGTGGTGCGTGAACCAGAAGACCTCGAAGTACGACCTCCGTATGACCTCTGTGGACGACGTGATGATGAGGATCAGAGCCAGAGTGATGACCACGCCCGTCAGACCCGCCACCGTGGTGAACATCACGATGGTCTGGGACTGAAACACAGAGAAACCAGGACTAAACCAGGACTGAACAAGGACTGAACAAGGACTGAACCAGCACTGAACCAGGACTGGACCAGGACTGGACCAGGACTGAACCAGGGCTAAACTAGGACTAAACCAGGACTAAAAGAGGACTAAACCAGGACTAAAACAGGACTAAAACAGGACTAAACCAAGGACTAAAACAGGACAAAACCAGGACTGAACTAGGACTAAACCAGGACTAAAAACAGGACTAAACCAGGACTAAAACAGGACAAAACCAGGACTGCATTAGGATTAAACCAGGGCTAAAACAGGACTAAAACAAGACTAAATCAGGGCTGAACCAGGACTAAACCAAGGACTAAACCAGGACTAAGCCAGGACTAAACCAAGGACTGCACCAGATCTGAACCAGGGCTGAACCAGGATTAAACCAAGAACTAAACCAGGACTAAACCAAGGACTGAACCAAGACTAAACCAGGACTTGAACCAGGACTAAACCGGGACTGAACCAGGACTGATCCAAGACCAGGACCAACCAGACTAAACCAGGACCAGGACTTAACCAGGACTAAACCAAAACTGAACCAGGACTAAATCAAGGACTAAAGCAGGACTAAACTCGGACTAGGAGCTCAAAACGCTCTCATTTACTCCGAATATTGTGTTTAAACAGAATAAAATGAATAAAACCACAGATGGGAAGCAGGTTTATTGAATCATAAACAAACACTTTGGTCTTTGTAAAGTCGGAACTAAAGCAGAAGTCTCCGTCTGAAGCAGGAAGTGTTTTGAGGAAAAGGTTTTCTGAGGCAAAGGGAGATTTTACGCTGATGTAGTAATATTTATCTTATTGAGACACAGTGACGCAATGACACATACATAACTTTATTCATCTGTTTGGATCTGATTTTATAAGAACAAACCTGGACTAAACCTGGACTAAAATGGGTATAAATTTGGTCTAAACATTTGGACTAAAATTTGAACGAAACCTGGTCTAAACCCCGTCTAAATCTGGACTAAACCTGGACTTAAACTTGGTCTAAATCTCGACTAAACCTGCAGTAAAACGGGTATAAAGTTGGTCTAAACGTGGTCTAAATCTGGACTAAACCTGGATTTAACCTGGTCTAAACCCATTCTAAATCTGGATTAAACTGGGACTAAACTTGGACTAAACCTGGACTAAACCTGATCTAAACCCAGTCTAAATCTGGTTTAAACTTGGACTTAGCCTGGTCTAAACCTGGACTTAACCTGGTCTAAATCTCGACTAAACCTGGACTAAACCTGCACTAAAACGGGTATAAAGTTGATCTAAACGTGGTCTAAATCTGGACTAAACCTGGATTTAACCTGGTCTAAACCCAGTCTAAATCTGGATTAAACTGGGACTAAACTTGGACTAAACCTGGACTAAACCTGATCTAAACCCAGTCTAAATCTGGTCTAAACTTGGACTTAGCCTGGTCTAAACCTGGACTTAACCTGGTCTAAACCCAGTCTAACTCAGGTTTTTATCATCTCATTGGAGTGTTTGGGATCTAAACTTGGTCTAAATCCGGTCTAAACCCAGGTCTTACCGTCTCATTGGAGCGTATGGGGTTGAGGAAGGAGGCGTTGTCATTGGTTCCGATCTGGGACAGGACAAATTGGATGGTCTGGTTCTGGTCCAGCTGAGCGTTCATGAAGAACTCAAAGTTAAACAGGTGAGCCACGATGTGCACCGCTAAACACACACACGCAGACACAACAGTTTATTTTGAGTTAGACCAGGTTTTATCAGACTTTGAGTCCGGGCAGGGGCGTCGAAACCCCCTCGTACCTGTGTGAAAGGCGATCATGTACGCCACCAGTTTGTGGAAGGTGAGATTTCTGTCCAACTGACGAGCGGCCGTGCGACTGCAGCACTGAGAAAGAGAATGAGAGCGTGAGATTTTTTTTTTTTTCGGTGACCCGACCCAGAGTCCTGCATAGGTCCAATTTTAGAGACCCACACCCACCCGGACCCATTAACTTTCCACCCGTTACCGCCCGGTGCGCCCGTGTAGACCATCAGGTGACCGCAGGCGAAAGCACCAGCGAGGTAAGTGCGGTCGTCGCCTGATGGCGTTTTGCGGACACTCTGCTCCACAGACTCAGGCTTCTCTCTCTCTTAAGTCCACGGGTACTCGACCTGGAGCAGGACTCTGACCCGACCTGGTGCAGGACTACACTACACACACTACACACACACTACACACACACTACACACACACACTACACACACTACACACACTACACACACACACACACTACACACACTACACACACACTACACACACACTACACACACTACACACACACACTACACACACACTACACACACTACACACACACACTACACACACACACACACTACACACACACACACACACTACACACACTACACACACACTACACACACACACACTACACACACACTACACACACACTACACACACTACACACACTACACACACTACACACACTACACACACTACACACACACTACACACACACACTACACACACACACTACACACACACTACACACACTACACACACACACACACTACACACACTACACACACACACACTACACACACACTACACACACACTACACACACACACACTACACACACACACACACACTACACACACACACACACTACACACACTACACACACACACACACACACTACACACACACTACACACACTACACACACACACACTACACACACACTACACACTACACACACACACACACACACACTACACACACTACACACACTACACACACACTACACACACTACACACACACTACACACACACACACACTACACACACACACACACACTACACACACACTACACACACTACACACTACACACACTACACACACACACACACACACACACACACTACACACACTACACACACACTACACACACTACACACACTACACACACTACACACACACACTACACACACACTACACACACACACACTACACACACTACACACACATACACACACACTACACACACACTACACACACACTACACACACTACACACACTACACACACACTACACACACTACACACACACACACTACACACACTACACACACACTACACACACTACACACACTACACACACACACACACACTACACACACACTACACACACACTAACACAACCTACACTACACACACACACACACACTACACACACACTACACACACACTACACACACTACACACACACTACACACACACTACACACACACACACACACAACACACTACACACACTACACACACTACACACACTACACACACACACACTACACACACACTACACACACACACACACACACACACACTACACACTACACACACACACACACACACTACACACACACACACACACACACTACACACACTACACACACTACACACACTACACACACTACACACACTACACACACTACACACACACTACACACACTACACACACTACACACACACACTACACACACACTACACACACTACACACACTACACACACTACACACACTACACACACACTACACACACACTACACACACACTACACACACTACACACACTACACACACACTACACACACTACACACACACTACACACACACACACTACACACACACACACTACACACACACACACACTACACACACTACACACACTACACACACACTACACACACTACACACACACACACACACTACACACACTACACACACTACACACACTACACACACTACACACACACACACTACACACACTACACACACTACACACACTACACACACACACACACTACACACACTACACACACTACACACTACACACACTACACACACTACACACACTACACCACACTACACACACACACACACTACACACACTACACACACACTACACACACACACACACACTACACACACACACACACACACACACACACACTACACACACTACACACACACTACACACACACACACACTACACACACACTACACACACTACACACTACACACTACACACACTACTACACACACTACACACACACACACTACACACTACACACACTACACACACTACACACACTACACACACACTACACACACACACACACTACACACACTACACACACACACACACTACACACACACTACACACTACACACACTACACACACACTACACACACTACACACACACTACACACACTACACACACTATATCCTTGACAGTTTTTAGAGCCGCTGGAAATATTGTAACTCCGGGCGCTATACTGCACTGCAGGAGAAATTCCCTAACTACGACAGCCCTAGTGTGAATATCTTGGTACCTGTGCAGTATACGTTGTGTGTATATAATGTGTGTATGTGTTGTGTGTATGTTGTGTACCTGTATAGTTCCTCGGAGGAAGGAGAGCAGGTTTCTACAGACTGGGAGCAGGATCAACATACAGTTAAAGTTGAGACACGCAGCTGGAGCTCGGGCCCAAGACAACGCTTGCTGAAAAAAGAGAAAGTACACAAATATACTACGAGTCTTCGAGTATTCTGCAAGTACTACTGCTGCTACTATCTCTGTGTATTTTATCCAAATGATGACTGTCGTGAAGGTGTATAGAGTCTAAAAATCACTTCCTGTATTACCAGATGACATCACAAGGTGGAACTCAGTGTTTGAAAGAAAATCTTAATCTGCAGGGTTTGTGCGAATGAAACAAAACAGAGCTCCAGATATTCCAAACTCTAACTTAAAAGGTGCATGGAGATGTTATTGCTTTTTTCTGGAATGTTCCGCAGTATGGCATTAAACCTTTCTGGCTTCATGGAGAGGCGAAGTTACCAGAGAGACCACAGTCAGAATCAATGTTTTTCTAGGTATTTTTGAGCCGTAAAACCACCTGTAAGTGAATAAATGTAAAGTAGAGCTGTTTAAAGTCACACTGTGGAACATTCCGGGAAAAGAAAAGTGAGTTTCTCGCGTGCTTCTGTGCACTTGAGGGATATAAAGTAATTACAGTAAAAGTTGTGAGGAAACAGCTGTGAATTTAGAGGAAGCGAAAACAAAAGGGGCTTTCTGTAGGAAATAATTAAACTGTAAAGCTCTTGTTCAATGTGAAAGACAAGAGGACTGAACCAGAACTAAACCAGGACTGAACCAGGACTGAACAAGGACTAAACTAGGACTAAAACAGGACTAAACCAGGACTAAACCAGGTCTAAACCAAGACTAAACAAGGGCTGAACCAGGACAAAACCAGGACTAAAACTGGGCTAAACCAGGACTAAACTAGGACTAAACCAAGACTGAACCAAGGCTTAACCAGGACTGAACCAGGACTAAACCAGGACAAAACCAGGACTAAACTAGGACTAAACCAGAAAAAAAAGACTTAACCTGGACTAAACCAGAGCTAAACTAGGGCTAAACCAGGAATAAACTAGCGACTAAACCAGGGCTGAACCAGAGACTGAACCAGGGGCTAAACCATGACTAAACCAGGACTAAACCAGGACCTAAACCGGGACTGAACCAGAGACTGAACCAGGACTAAATTTGGGACTAAAACAGGGCTGAACCAGAAAAAAAACAAGACTAAAGCAGGACTAAACCAAGGCTGAACCATGACTAAACCAAGATCTAAACCAGGACTGAACTAGGACTAAACCAGGACGAAACCAGAGACTAACCCAAGACTTAACCAGGGCTGAACAAGAGAGTAAACTAGGGATTCTATGTCTAAACCAGGACTAAACCAGGATCTAAACCAGGATCTAAACCAGAACCAAACCAGGTCTGACCCAGGACTGAACCAGGACTCACCCCGAGCAGGACTCTGGTGTAGAACCACTTGGGAGTGAGGAAGGCCATGTAAAAGTGAACAAACAGGAACGCGTTGATGCCCAGCCAGACCAGCTGAAAGACGAGAGAATACAGGACGAAATTAAAGACGCACTGTGGAACTTTTCTAGTGAATGGATCTGTCTATCTTAATGGAGACAAGAAGAGCACAAGAGAAGCCACCATACAGAGTTACAGGTTAGATTTGTAGAACTTTTGTGTTTTGTTTCTTTTACCTTAAACTGTACAACACTAAAATACAAGAAAATATTAAAAACACGGTGGAGCACTTCCTGTATGACCACATGACATCACAAGGTGGATCAGAGTGTTTTCAGTTTGAGAAAATAATATAATACGGGACCTTTAAGTTACACAGTGCATGTTAAATATTGATTTAAAAAGCTCATATAATTTGACGTTTTTAGCTGCACAAATTTGGTCTTATTAATATTGCGAAGACTAAATATAAAAAAAAAAAAAATCTAATTAGTTTCTCACAGTTTATTACTTCTTTTGAATAAAAAAATAACATCTTTTAGTTCTAGAAAAAGAAATTAAAGTAAAATAAATAAATGAAACTGAAATACTTACAATGACAAAGATAGAAAGTCCTTCGTTGGCTGCAAAATTCCCCATATTTATTTTTGTATTTATTTGTTTTAGAAGAATGGAGAGATGAGCAGAGGAGGAGAGGGACCAGAGTGAGATGAACAGATCCGAGGACAAGAGATTTCACCAGAATTTAGAGCTCTCTGACTGGACGGAAACCAGGAAGTGTGAAGCAACTTTAATCAAATAAGGAAATACATTCTCATGACAAAGTGTGGTAAATATAAAGAGTGATAAGGAGTATTTGTGGTAGTATTGGAGTATTATGTATTCCTGGTTTTGAACTGGGTGTAGTCCTGCATATTGTCAGTTACTATTGGACCAAGGGTGGACCTGGTTTAACTTTCAACTTTCTGCTTTTGTATTTCTGTTAGAGGAGTTAGTTTATGGAACAATCTGAGTGACGATTAAAAAAAAAAAAAGTTGTAGTCTATGTTTAGTTTTATTTTGTTTTGTAAAATGACCAAATAAAACTGCTACTACAGTAAACCACAGCTTAAGCTCAGCTCAACAATGCAGACAGACACTGTAAAAAAACAAAACAATATTTAGCAAAGTTAAATGAAATGGAATAAGTATGTTTTTCTTAATTCAAGCAACATTTGATTTTGTTTCTTATTTTAAGTGCAAAAAGTTGTTTTTCTTATTAGGTCTTATTAAGCGTAGCAAGATGTGTTTTCATATTTTAAGTATAAAAAATCTTATTCCACTGGCAGATAATTTTACTTGTCAAGTGAAATTTACTCAAATAATGATAAAACTTTATTAATTAAAGTCAGTTTAACTAGGCTAGATTTTGTTTTTTACTATGTACATTCCCTTAAAAATAGGCAAATAATGAGCAGGAAATCTAACCAAATTTCACCACGATTGATCCAAGCTATAAGAGCATTCATCTTCATTATCCTTCCATTTTCTGCTTTATCCGTTGCCAAGTTGTGGGGGCAGCAGTCTAAGCAGGGCCTCCCAGACTTCCCTTTCCACGCCCACTTCCTCCAGTTCCTCCAGGGAAACCCCGAAGCATTCCCAGGCCAGCCCAGAGACATAGTCCCTCCAGCGTGTCTTGGGTCTTCCCCGGGGCCTCCTTGTGGTGGGACATGCCCAAAACATCTCCCAGAATGCATCTGGAACAGTTGTCCGAGCCTCAACCGCTCCTCTCGACGTGGAGGAGCAGCGGCTCTACTCTGAGCTCCTTCCATGTGACTGAGCTCTTCACCCTGTCTCTAAGGGAGCGAACCCAGACACCCTTCGAAGGAACTCATTTTGTATCCGCGATCTCGTCCTTTCGGTCATTACCCAGAGCACATGACCATAGTTGAGGGGAGGAACGTAGATTGATGGTAAATCTAGAGCTTCGTCTTTCAGCTCAGCTCCCTCTTCACCGCAACAGTCCGATACAGCGATCACTGCCGACACTGCACCCGTCCACCTGTCAATCCCACACTCCATCCTCCCCTCATTCGAGAACAAAACCCCGAGATACTTGAACTCCTCCACTTGAGGCAGAAACTCTTCACCCACCCGGAGAGGGCAAGACATTTGGTGGAGCTGATTTTCCTCCCAGCCGCTTCACACTCGGCTGCAAACCGCCCCATCATCATCCGAGTTATGGCTTCAAAAATAAAGGAAGTCTGAATTCTCTGAGTTTTGATCCAGACGATTTGTACTAGACACAGAGAGCAAAGAGGACACCGAGCCCACAGACAACACAAAATGCAAGAATAGATTCAATAAAACTCTAATAAAAAGTAAAGAAACTGATGTTAAAAGAATTAATTTTCCTTAAAAAGAACAGTCCTGGTTTAGAACTTGGTTAGAACTGGTTTAGTCCTATTTTAGTGCTAGTTTAGTCCTAGTTTAGGCCTGGTTCAGACCTAGTTTTGTCCTGATTTAGTCCCTGATTCAGTCCTGGTTTAGTCCCTGGTTCAGTCCTAGATTTGTCCTGTTTTAGTCTTGTTTTAGTTCTGGTTTAGTCCTGATTTAGTCCTTGCGTAGAACTTGTTTAGTCCTGATACAGTCCTGGTTTATTAGTTCAAAATATCAACCCAATTTTTGCCCACATTTCATGAACTTACACAAATAACAACAACAACAACAACAACAATAGTAATAATACAATTGGCTGAATGTGTTTTAATTCCAGGTGTGTGGTTTTAAAGGAGGAAGTTGTGTTTTGAAAGTGAAGTAAAACTGAGGCTTTTTCACATTTCCTGTTTCAGACTCATCTGTTGGAAATTACACATTTCAATATAAAACAAAACGAAACTAAGAATATTACAGATCTTATATTTAGCAGTATTCAGGTAATTTTTGTTTGCAAGGTTATTTCAAGTTTTAGCATAAAGCAGCACTACTTCTACTACTTCTACTACTACTACTACTACTACTACTACTACTACTACTACTACTACTACTTACTACTACTACTGCTACTACTACTACTGCTACTTCTACTACTACTACTATTACTACTACTGCTACTTCTACTACTACTACTACTACTACTACTACTACTACTACTACTACTACTACTACTACTACTACTACTACTACTACTACTGGCACTACTACTACTACTACTACTACTACTACTACTACTACTTACTACTACTACTAATACTACTAATATTACTACTACTACTGCTGTTGCTGCAACTACTACTGCTACTACTTTTACTGCTACTATACTATTACTATTACTACTACTGCTACTACTACTACTACTACTACTACTACTACTACTACTACTACTACTACTACTACTACTACTACTGCTACTACTACTACTACTACTACTACTGCTACTACTGTACTACTACTACTACTACTACTGCTACTACTACTACTACTACTACTACTACTACTACTACTACTACTACTACTGCTACTGCTGCTACTACTACTACTACTACTACTACTACTACTACTACTACTACTACTACTACTACTACTGCTACTACTGTTACTACTGCTACTACTACTACTACTACTACTACTGGCACTACTACTACTACTACTGTTACTACTACTACTGCTACTACTACTACTACTACTACTACTACTACTCCTGCTACTGCTGCTATTACTACTACTACTACTACTACTACTACTACTACTACTACTACTACTACTACTACTACTGTACTACTACTACTACTACTACTACTACTGGCTACTACTACTACTACTACTACTACTGTACTACTGCTACTACTACTACTACTACTACTACTACTACTACTACTACTACTGCTACTACTACTACTACTACTACTACTACTTACTACTACTACTGTTACTACTACTACTAGTGTTAGTACTACTACTGGTACTACTACTACTACTACTGCTGCTGCTACTACTGCTAGTACTACTACTACTACTACTACTACTACTACTACTACTACTACTACTGCTGCTATTACTACTACTACTACTACTATTTTTTCATGTACTTTCTTTATATTTATTTGTACAAAAAAATTGGTATTTTATCCTGATAATTGTCTCATTTGTTCTGTAGATCTTGATTCCAGTGGCTTAGCAAACGTTATGAATAATAAATGTAAATATGTGTTTGACTGAGTGAACGCGGCTTTTTCTCCGACCTCATTAAACATGAAAAGAAAATCATATAATGAGATTTCAAAGTGTCGACTGTGAGCGTGTGAGTCATTCACTCATTAATTAACATGTGAAGACACTAGAACATTCCAATTACAGTTCATGTTAACATATTAAAGGCCTGTATGTGACCTATACGTAATCCTGGTTCAGTCCTGGTTTAGTCCTGGTCCAGTCCTGTTTTCACCTGTACTTACATAAAGCCTGTATTTAGATTATTTAAAGTATTTAGGTCAGTGCATTTGTCCAATCAGTCTAATGTCCCTCTGTGTTACAGCACTGACCACACATCAGAGTCATTCTCTTCAAGCCTATATCCCCCTAATAATAATAATAATAATAATAATAATAATGCATCAGTTTTATATCACACTTTTCTTGACACTCAAAGACACTTTACAGAGCATTATTCATCCACTTCATACCCTGTGGTGCTGGTTTAGTCCTGGTTTAGTACCATTCTGTTTTGTCGTGGTCTTGTTTTTAGTCTTAGTTTAGTCCTGGTTTAGTCCTGGTTTCGTCCTTGTAAAGATCAGTTTTTAGTTCAAGTTTAGTTCTGGTTTTAGTTCTGATTTAGCCGTGGTTTACCGCTGGTTTAGTCCTGGTTTAGACCTGGTTTAGTCCTGGTTTACACCTGGTTTAGTCTTTGTTTAATCCTTGTTTAGCCCTGGTTTAGTCCTGGTTTAGTCCTGGTTTTAGTCCTGGTTTAGTCCTGGTTTTAGTCCTGGTTTAGTCCTGGTTTAGTCCTGGTTTTAGTCCTGGTTTTAGTCCTGGTTTAGTCCTGGTTTTAGTCCTGGTTTAGTCCTGGTTTAGCCCAAAATATGAAAACAGGAAAATACCGCCCTGTAATCCATTTATTTCAACAAAGTAACTGTAATCCAATTACCACTCATGGAAACAGTAACTGTAACTGAATACAGTTACTCATAATTTGTACTCTGATTATGTAACTCCGGTACATGTAATCTGTTACTCCCCAACACTGTTAATATATATAATTTGCAGTGATGTCACACATGAACGTTCAGCGGTTACCATGGTGACACAATGTGCACATAAAGAAAAAATACCACATGGTTTAAAACAGCACATTTTCAGGAGCCTGTGATCGGTCTGAGCGTTCGTAGTTAATCATCTGTTTCTGGTCAGATTGTGTTAAAAAATCAAATAAAACTGAGATTAAAATTTGAGTAACAGAGCTTCAGACAGAGCAGTGCTTCCAGTTAGCTGCACAACCCCAGGGAATGTTAATAAAAATATCAATCGCTGGAGAATGGACTTTGCCGCTATAATGTAAACGATCCGGAGGCTAACCACTCTGCCGCTGTGTAATTGTGTTAAAAGCAGCGGTGACCTTTGGCCCTTCCCCCTCCCAAGATATGGATTAAACCGGATTAATGGAGACTTTTACAGATTACACACATGACCAGAGTATGAGATAATGAGAGGAGTGGGCTAGTCCTGGTTTAGACCTGGTTTAGACCTGGTTTAGTCCTGGTTTAGTCCTGGTTTAGTCCTGGATTAGACCTGGTTTAGTCATGGTTCTTATTGCTGGACAAAAATGTAATAATTATCTGAAAGTAAAATCAAAGT